AAACTCTTAAGCCATCCTCAAACCCTAGACAGACCTGGGAGGAGACTTTTGAAGCGTTTGGGAGAAAAATCAAGGCACAAACAAGGAGAATAACATCACGATGCGAAGAATCAATTCAAGAACCTAAATTGGTGATGTCGTTATTTATTAAATTTTCTGATTTCTTTTCTTCTATCTTGTTAGGCTAGATTTATATGTGTTAGGTGAACGATGAACCCTGTGATGTGATATTTTAATTCCTAGTTTTACTTTGTTAACATTAAAATACTTTTTGAATTATTGAATTATTTATATACATTGCTTTTTCTCTACAATGATAACGCAATAGTTGTATGAGTATGGTGGCTTATTTTATGCATTCGAAAGAAGGGAAATAAGCTCGACGGGGTATAAATCATCATATGGTCATATAGGGGATAGAAATATACCTCTATGCTCTACGTGAATTTCTAAATGTTTACAAAACGTCATGCATTCTTGTTTATTGCATTTGTCATAGAAATATAGTCAAATGGTATGCGAGAATATGTTCAATTCTACTCGAGAGATATTATTGAATAGGTCAGAAATATTGATTCTTCATCAATTCAAACATGTTGTCAATTTTGTAAAACTAGAATTAAAATGGATCATTGCATGGGATTCGTGAGCCTAGTGCATTTCTTTTCTATGTGTTACTTCAATTTGCATTCAATCATATAATTTGCATTTAGTTCAACTAATTCATCCACTATTGCATTCATTTAGTTTAGCTACAATTTAGTTACAAAACTCAACCATATTTCACGTTTCGGTTAAGGTTAGAATAGGTAAATTTGAACTAGTAAATCTGTGTAGAAATGATACTTGGACTCTAAAATCAATTTTATTACTTGAATAATCCGTACACTTGCGGTAGTTTTTATTCGAAACATATTTTTGATGACCAAGTTTTTAGCCTCGTTGTCAGGGATTTAACTTTAATTTGATTTTATTTACTTTGACATTAATTCGAACTCTTCTATTATTTTATTATTTTATTTTATTTTATTGCTTTTATTTATTTTTATTTTTTTTGCTAACCCCATACTATTAATCTATTTCGTGTTTACACTCTCTCCCTATACTTTTTCAGATAATTACATGATTCTAACTTGGTGAGTTAATGAAACTTTTGCAATTGATAATCTCTACATAAATTATGAAGATATGCTTGGAGGATGCCCGAGTTGTGATAATTGTTATGCGATGCATTGTACTAGGCAATATTTGTTCTCGTACTATGATTTACACACGCCAAAACTTATGCAGTTTAGAGAATATTTAAGGTCTCGAAAGCAAGCAATTGACAAAAAAAAAAGAGGTACATGCTAGTTGGAGATTTTATACCTTACAATTGGGATGCAGACATCAAACTTGAAGGAGATCGTCTTCCTCTATTAGAAGAAAATGTAATTGCAAAGTACTTCGAAAACTCGGTCAAGTTGGATAAAAGCAAGATGCTTTTAGGAGATTAGATGTACTTGGAAGATACAAATCTACATAGTTGAAGTTGAGTCGAATAGAATAGACAAGTCCTATTATGTTGAAAAATGGACAAGGCATCAAGAGCCTTCTTTGGGTACCCGTGATCTGCCGCCATATAGTCGAACTATACACTCTAAACAAGCGCTTGTTGGGAGGCAACCCAATAGTTCTTTTCATTTTTTTCCTATTTATGATATTAACTTAGGAACCATGTTTCTTTAGTTTTGATAATTACAGGTCATCCATCATCTAATTAGATCTCAAAGATACCTTTTAAGCAAAAGTAACGTCCACTACTAGCAGATGACACTTCGGCTTCAGTTTTCTTCCTCCGTCTCCACCACTGCCTACTTTTTTATCAGATGGGTTTCATCTCTCCCTTCTTTTGCTTTATATTCACATTGTCATTCAAATTTGGTGTCCAATCTTATCCTATGCACATTGAGGACAATGTTCTGTATACGTTTGAGGGTGAGAATATGTCAATATGTCATTCATCATGTTACTGCAGTTTTGTTTTTGTGTGAAAAAAATTAGTTTTTCATCATTCTTAGTAATAGTTTGGGATTTTGTGTGCTTGTATGGGTTTGACAATTCTGCTGACAATGATGTTCAATATTGGACTATGTGCGAACTACGAATGATGAAAGTTATGCATTAATGTCAATGTGAAACTTGATTTACTGTGCGCACGACGCTCATGCTTGCATATTGGGCTAATGATTTAACTCATTGTTTAGAAATAGTGGAACATAGAGAATATACCCGGAAAACTTCTTTTGTGCTAAACCACGACCAATTTTTAGAATAGTTTAGATGTGATTGAACTGTTGCAAGGGAACACTGAGATGAGTAGGGGTTTTATATGTGGATTTTCTAAAACCAATTAGATGAAAACGAAGTGAAAGTTTCAAGTTAGGGTGCAGTGTTAGAAACTAGTTCAGTGTTAGAAACTGAGTGTCAAAAAGAAAATGGGTATTGTACTAATCATTGAATAAACAAAGACATCTGTTCAAACCTTTATAACTCGAGTGATTAAGCCTGCTATGGTTTAAAACCTGGTGCCCTATGGTCATCTGATTTGGGAGTCATCGGTCTAAATCTCATTACAGAGGTAATACAAAAAGCAAACGAAAGATGACAAACACAAAAAAAAAGTTAAACATGCATACTCTCATGAAGGAAATGCATTGGTTAGCTCTAGACACTCGATTGATAAGACTGTATCTCTAATGCGAGGCAATTAGCTCAGTGTAATCTCAAAGGTTGAAGAAATCAAAGATAGGAGAACATCTACTTGTTGAAGTTTGAACTTGTGATGGTGAGATCTATCTAAGCTGAGAGAGGAGAATGAATAAATATAAATAAATTCAACCTTAGAATACACCCCGAGATAATTGAGTGAAAATAATAAGATTGGAGGAGGTGTGATCTTTCGAGAGATGAGAGAGGGAAAATCTGACTACATTGGGTCGGGTATAAGTCAAACATGATCCTAATATGTTGGTACGAATTTACACGCACACGTCGAGTTTTGCATATAACATGTGGAGATTGATTTGATTATTCATGGATGTAGTTGTTCATGTTTACTAAGTACCAACCTTGTGATATGACAAATTGTTAAACAATGTGTTACTTGGAAGTAAGTTATGAACTTGTTTGAGGACAAACAATGATTCAAGATTGGGGGAGTTGATAAGGGCGTTTTTATACGTTTATTTCGGTTCACAAGCATGAACAATTGTTGATAAATGTTTGGAATAGAGCTTAATTTGTATTTGTAGGACAATAATGAAGATTGTGGTGGAAACTTGAGGAAAAATGGAGAATATGGGCTAAAAAGAGGAAAACGAAAGTTCAGGGACCAAAATGCAAATAATCAAAAGATGACCCGAGGCCAGCTCAAGAGCAGACACGAGCTTAATCATAAATTGAGGAATGCATGGGATGATAGGAGGAAAAGAATGAACAAAAGATGTCAAGACAAGAGAAAAATGAAGTGGATGACCAAAATGAAAAATTGTGAAAGTTAATTACACCATGCAGCCACATGGTATAATTAACCATGCGGCCGCAAGCATAGTGACAGGAAAAAAAGAGCAAAAATTTTGTTCCATGTAGCTGCTTGGAAAATAACCATACAGCCGCGGTTTAATCTGTGAACTAAAATTCTGGTTTCCTTATTTCGTTCCAACTCTTATGGAAACTAATTTTTTGGCAACTATATAAACTTTTAAGCCGTCTTCAAACCCTAGGCAGACCTGGGAGGAGACTTTTGAAGCGTTTGAGAGAGAAATCAAGGCACAAACAAGGAGAATAACATCACGATGCGAAGAATCAATTCAAGAATCTAAATTGGTGATGTCGTTCTTTATTAAATTTTCTGATTTCTTTTCTTCTATCTTGTTATGCTAGATTTATATGTGTTAGGTGAACGATGAATCTTGTGATGTGATATTTTAATTCCTAATTTTACATTGTTGACATTAAAACACGTTTTGAATTATTGAAGTATTTATATACATTATTTTTTCTCTACAATTATATGTGCAATAGTTGTATGAGTATGGTAGCTTATTTTATGCATTCGAAAGAATGGAAATAAGCTCGATGGGGTATAAATCATCACAGGGTCCGATAGGGGAAAGAAATATACTGCTATGCTCTACGTGAATCTCTAAGTGCTTACAAAACGTCATGCATTCTTGTTTATTGCATTTGTTATAGAAATATAGTCCAATGGTATGTGAGAATAGGTTCAATTCTACTCGAGAGAGAGATAATTGAATAGGTTAGAAACATTGATTCTTCATCAATTCAAACATGTTCTCAATTTTGTAGAACTAAAATTAAAATGGATCATTGCATGGGGATTCGTGAACCTAGTGCGTTTCTTTTCTATGAGTTACTTCGATTTGCATTCAATCATATAGTTTGCATTTAGTTCAACTAATTCATCCACTATTGCTTTCATCTAGTTTAGCTACAATTTAGTTACAAAACTCAACCATTTCACGTTTCGGTTAAGGTCAGAATATGTAAATTTGAACTAGTAAATCTATGTGAAAATGATACTTGGACTCTAAAATCCATTTTATTACTTGAACGATTCATATACTTGCGGTAATTTTTATTCGAAACATATTTTCGATGAACAAGGAGCGTTGCTCAAGCTGGGACCAGTGTTCTAAAACGCGGCCTAATGCGCCGCGTACGCGCGTCTATGCTCAAGGCGTGAACCAGACGCGTCGCATGCTTGGCATGCGTGAGAAAATGCGGTCAACTTTTTTTTGTTGACCGCTTAAACACGTATAACCCGCCCACAGTTCTGAAAGGCCCAATTGATGGCACACATCATCCCATAAAACATTTATCAACTCCATTAATAGGCTCATCAAATACATTGGCAAGCCCAATTAACTGTTAATTCAACACTGAGTGGTTCGCCGTTTTATAAAGAAATATTCTCCCACTGATTTAGTCTACATCCGATGTGGGATAGGAATGGATTCTCCACCGACAGGTACTTCATTTGTGGAACTGCTGGACATTGTGACCAAGGAATTGACACCGTCGCAGCTTCTGCACCACCACCGGCCACCCCCTTGGCCCCTTCCTCGGCCACTCCCTTGGCTCCTGCTGATGTTTTTATGAAGGGATCCATGATGGGACCTCACTGGAACCCAAGGGCTACAGAAATTGCAGTAGTCCTGCAAGGTCAGGGAATGATTCGGGTTGTTTGTTCTAGTATTTCAAGTGAAACCGAGTGCAAAAACGCTAGGTTGAAGGTTGAAGAAGGTGATGTATTTGCTGTTCCAAGATTCTATCTGATGGCTCAAATGGCTTTCAACAATGGTACATTTGTTTTCATGGGATTTAGTACTTTGGCAAAGAAGAACCATCCTCAATTTTTAGCAGGAAAGGCTTCAATCCTCCGGACTCTAGACAAAGAGGTGTTGGCAGCATCATTTAACATTGACAATACTACTTTGGATCGGCTTTTGGCTCCACAACGTGAATCAGTTATCTTGGATTGTACATCATGTGCCAAGGAAGAATTAAGGTTGTTGATGGAAGAGATAGAAAAGGAAAAGGAAAAGGAAGCAGGGAAGGAAAGAGACAGGAGGAAGCAAGGAAAAAGGCAGAAGAAAAGAGGAGGGAGGAAGAGGAAGGGGCTGTTTGGGATAAAATTTAATTTTAAGCTCTACTAAGGGGCTGTTTGGGATAAAATCTAATAAATGGGCTGTTTAGGATAAAATCTATTTTTTTATGAATTAGTAAAAAATCTATTTTTATATATAAAAATATATTTAATTTCTTAAAAATAATTAAAATAATATTAAAAATACGAAACGCATTATGGCGCTTATTCTTCGCATTGACACGCCTAAACTTGTGATTCTTGATTCTCGACCTCGACGCATCGCAACGCATTACGCATTTTAGAACATTGGTTGGGACAATCTTTTACCTAGTGATAATTAATTCAATCATTTAAAGCGCTCACAACTAGCACTTGGAATGGTCGAAACCTTAGGGCGAAGACAATGAAGAGAAAATAGCGAAGACTGGAAAAAAGGGTTTCTCTTTTGAACTTTTAAGGTGTTTTGTCTTCTGGATCGAGAATTGGGGATTTGATTTGGGGGGTTTTTACTTTTAGGACGTATTAATTACGTGGTAAGAAATTTATTTAATTTTAAAGTGTATTATTCAATTTGGTTAATTTAATAGAGTAGTAGGCCTAATTTACCCTTATTATAATGTGGTAATTTTAAGTATATGGGCTGGAATTATGTAAACCCTAATTAGGGTTAGAGTCGGTAATGAGTCAATTTTGTGATTTCCTATATAATGAGTAGGTTCCCTCCTCTCCATTTCGTTTTGGCTTACCTCATTGACGGTCGATTATTTTGAAGAGCAATTAGAGGAAGATCTAACTGGTAATACTCATACATAACAATATTTTCCGCAGCTACGAATTTCGAACTATCAATTAATTATACGATTCTTATTCTTAGCATGATTGTATTAAATAATTACAACACTTACTATCAGAGCTGCATGCTAAGATTAGAAAATATTAATTTCTCACGCACAAAATCATCCCACACGTCTGTTTGCTGTCTATATAAATTTATTATTTTAAGTGTAAAATTTCCTCTCTCTTGCATGTATATTTTCAACCTGCTAAACAAAAGAAAACCTTCTACTAAAAAAATCTCGTTGTCACTCTTATAAAAACTTGTTGGTATTCTGTAAATCTGAGTTTACTCCAAATAAAATTTGTAGGTCTTTGTTCTAGCCGAAATTGTAGCACAAAACACAAGAAAGAACTTAAAATGAAGTTTAGTTTCTCGTTTCTGTTATTTTGATGGCTGCATGTTTTGATTTTGTCAATAATTGGAACCATAGATGCTTAGGAATACTGTTTCTCGATTTTGGGGGTTATGGAGGATGATTACCCTAATTGGGGGCTAAATACTTGGAGAGTTTGTATTCCGATTAGATTCCGGATACGGTTTAAGCTTCTGGGTTGGGCTCTTAAGCTTTTACATTTTTGTTGAGGTTATTGGTTGTTAATTTATGGAAACCGCAATTGGAAGTGAAACTCAACTCTATTACAGTTTGCCTTCCACGGATTTGAGGATAGTGGGGAAGAAAAGTATTGAATGGTATCCTAATGATTGGAAATGGGATGGGCATCTATTCGTTGCTTCTCGAGTCAATCCCAATCATTCTAATTACCAGGACAGGCATTTTTCCCCCCTTGAAACTGGAATTAGTATAACTTGAGATTCTTCTAACGGCTCCTCCTCTCGCTCCGAAGAATTAAATCAAGGGGCTGAGAAAGAAAAGAGGGAATTGGAGAAGAGAGGAAAAGCCTAGGGTTTTATTTTTGGGTATGTTTCAATGGTTTTGGGGATGAGGGGCTTCTCCGCAATTTGTGATTCTTTAGGGGTCATGCCTGCAATTAAAGCAAAATGGCCATTTTGAAATTTGAAGAAAATGGACCTATGTTGTAATTTATATATTTTGAAGTCATTTTCATAATTTTAATTTTATGGTCAATTTTGCAATATTGAAATATTGAATTTGAATTTTTAAAATTGGATTTTTAAATTTGATCTAAATATATTTCAATTTTGACTTAAAAAATTAAAAATATATTTAAAATTAACGACTTTTTTAATTTTCATTCAAATATTTGAATGTCATCATTATTTGTCCATTTAAATTTCATTTTTATATATTGAAATTTAGTTACAAATTTTGTCTCACAATCGCGCATAAATTTTATTTTTCGTCATTTAATGATAGCGATTATTATAATTGAATTTTTTGTGAACTTCAAGTCTATCTTAGTGGTCTCATTAAAAGAAATATATTGAAATAAAAGCGGGTGGTAGGTACCAAAGGGCCACACTCATTTTTATTTATTTGGTTTCCTTAAAAAAAATTTACATTGTAATTTTGAATTATTACATATAGTATATCTTGCCCAAATGTATTATTATATGTTATATTTTTGGAAATTGGCATAAAACAGTTTACAATTTTATTTGGTCTAAAAATCTCCTTCTACTCAAAGGTGTTGGTGTTTCAAAAACCGATATGTTCTAAATTAAAGACTCTTAAGATTCTTATTGCTGGGCCTTTTCTGGTCTATCACGTTCCGAATAGCCTTTTGAGCCATTAAATCAGCTGAAGGTTACTTATAATGCTCAAAGAGATAAATTGGATTTGAATGACTTTATTGTTGTATGTGCCCAAGAGGAGTATAGATGGAGACGTGAAAATGTCGAAACTGTGTAATAAGCTTTTCAGCTAACATAGAACAAGAGGTCTTTTCATAATCATAAGTCAAATTTCCACAAGGGCGACAAATCACAATGCAATTAGCACAACGAAAATTTTAGATGTCAGACTTCTAGTGGTCCCAAAAGAGCGATAAAGAAAAATGATCACTCCAAGTTCTGCAAGAAGAAGGGTCATTGGCAGAAAGATTATTTTAAGTTTAAGACTTGGTTGGAGAAGAAAAAGAGTTCCGTAGGGGTTCACAAGCAAACGGAGGCCAAGTAAGAATGAGAAAGCCTGTACATTGGGAATGGGGTTCAAGTGAAGGTTGAGTTCATAGGAGTAGTGAAGTTATTTTTGGAGTTCGATTTCTCTCTTGTTTTAGATAATACTTTTATGTACCGACAATGAAACGGAATTTAAATTTTATATCAAATCTTGATGCTTCTGGTTTTTCCTTTAATTTTGGTAATGGAATGATTGAATTGTTTTATGATTCTCGTTTAATTAGAAATGGTCTCTCATGTGATGTTTTATATAAATTATATTTTGGCTTCTTTTGGTTAAGTCTCTTGTGTTGCGAATGTGTCAAAGAAAAGGTCTCTAATTCGTGAATCATCATCTATGTTGTGGTATAAGTGGTTGGGTCACATTTCAAAGGATATGATGGAGAGATTAGTTAAATTTGAGATACCTTCCTCTCCCAACTTCTTTGATTTTGACACTTGTCTGAATTGTATAAGAAGAAAGTTGACTAAATCCACAAGGTGAGTTTCCACTAGGAGTAATTTTAATGTAGGGCATATTGTTGACCCTGTTACTTTTAATCAAGCATTCACAAGTCATGAGTCACATAAATGAATAAATACTATGGATAATGAAATGAATTATATGGAACAGAATAAAGTTTGGGAACTTATTGAACTTTCTCTGGATGCTAAAGTCATTGATAACAAGTGGATCTTCAAAAGCAAATTAGACTCAAAAGGGAATGTTGAACGAAAGAAGGCAAGAATGGTTGCAAAAGGATTCGCTCAACGAGAGGGCATTGATTACAATGAAACATTTTTCACCTTTTTCGTCCAAAGATTCTTTTCGAATTATCATGGCATTTGTAGCACATTATAATTTGAAATTTCATCATATGGGTGTTAAGACGACTTTTCTGAATGGAGATCTTTCGAAAAGGGTTTACATGAGACAACTTGAAAGCTTTGTTGTGAAAGGAAAAGAAAAATTGGTATATAGGTTGAATCCTTATATGGCCTCAAGCAGACATCACGGCAGTGGTATTTGAAATTTTACGAGGTTGTGACTTCTCTTGATTTTGTTGAAAATGCAATTGATCAATGTATTTATTTCAAAACCAGTGGGAGAAATTTTATTTATCTTGTCCTATATGTTGATGATATTTTACTTGCTAGCAGTGACTCGGGGTTACTTCACGAGACAGGGAAAATGTTATCTGCTAATTTTGAAATGAAAGATCTTGGAGAAGCTACTTATGTACTTGGCATTGAAATACATCGTGATAGAAATAGTGGCGTGTTGGGACTTTCTCGGAAGACTTATATACGACGTATTCTAGAAAGGTTCAATATGCAAAAATGTGCACTGATGATGAGATACTTAAAGAAACTTGAAAGTTACATGCTCAATTTCCAACATTCCAATCATATTGGTTCAGTCGAATCCAGGGCAAGAGCATTAGAAAACGACTAAAAAAGTTATGAGATACTTAAAGAAAACTGAAAGTTACATACTCACTTTTCAACGTTCAAATCACCTTGAGGTGGTAGGCTACTCAGACTCAGATTTTGTTGGATGTCAAGATGATTTGAAATCAATCTCATGTTATATTTTCATGTTAGCTGGTGGTGTTATCTCGTGGAAAAGTGTTAAGCAGACTCTAGTGGCATCTTCTACTATGCAAACTAAATTTGTGGCATGTTATGGAGCTCAAGCCATTTGGTTAAGGAATTTTATTTTTGGCCTGGAAGTTGTTGACTCTATCTCGAAGCTAATCACTATTTGTTATGATAATAGCGCAGCAGTGTTCCTTTTTCAAGAAATAATAAAAGTTCCAGTAGATCGAAACACATGACATCAAATATTTGGTGGTTAGAAATAGAGTCAAAGAAGGGCGGACGAAAATAGAGCATATTAATACAAAGGTAATGATTGCAGATCATTTAACTAAGGAACTCGCTCCTAAAATTTTTACGACACATGTTGCTAATATGGGTATTGTTGAAACATTTGATGTTTTTGGTTATTGGGAGTTATTTACGTAAGATGACCCATATGTTTTTCAAGTACAACCTCTTCTAATAATAAAATATATCTTCCCCTATCCATAAATTATTTTGAGCATGCATCTGACTTATGTCTTTTATAATGATATTATTTTGATCTC